AGCGGGAGAGAAGACGCCTGTCTGGGTGCAGGCGTGACGCCCAGCACCTTCGCCTGCCACCTGACGGCACCAGTCTGGCGGGGCTCTCTCCCAGTACCTCACCACCATCCTCCAGCAGCACAGCCCATGCCCGTCACTTAGTCGTATCACAGTTTGAGATCGAGACGAAAAACCAACACCTCAAATGCAGACCTGAGGAACACAACATCAGAAAATGGCACCTTTTCAACTACTTTGCCTTTCTACCAACCACAGCTGCTCTCGGGATCGCTGGTCTCTCCCCATGTTTTATTTTCATCACAGGCTCTTATGGCCAGGGAACTGGGTGTTCTTCCTGTCTATAAAACCCCCGCTCATTAAAGAAACTCCACTAGCACTGAGAGTCTAATAGAGGTGAGGGCATGTTAGAAAACAGTTTTCAGATGCTTGGTCAGACACAAGCTGTGCACTCCATAAAGGGGGCGTACACGTATAGATGTGACAGGAAACAAACTTTCTCATACATAATAAACATAATGGCATTTCAGTGTGACCCTTCTTCCCAAATTTGCTTATTTCTAGGATTTTCAGCTGGGTTTTCCAAAATGTGCCCTATTCCTCCTACTCAGAAGAACATGTCTGCCTTGTATTTTGGCAGAGATAACAAGCCATGCTTGCAATATGACTCAGCAAATTTACTTATCCCATTTCTGCGGGATGAGGTAAGCTCACTGGATAACTCTGGCCCCTTATGAGGACAAGGAAATCCTGCCCTCCTGTTCCGATGCGACACGCTAACACAGCCTGCTCTATTTTTCAGACAATACGTAGAGGTTGTACAGCCTCCAGTATAACAAACTGGTCTGGCAACCGCACAGCAGCTCCCGCAAGAGCCAGCTACCCAAAATGGCACTACTCCCCAGCAGTAACCACACGAGCAGTTCTCCCAGACGTGAGCGGTGCCCGCGCTGTGCGGGGCTGGTGCGGCGCTGAGCCCCGTGCCACCTGATGCCTCCAGCCACGTCGTTTGGCATTGAAATGCTGCCCAGGGTCTAACCTGGGGTCTCCATCTTGTCACACACCACAGTATTTTTTTCTTTATTTTTTTTTTTCCAAAGAAAAATGTGTCTTTTAGCTTCTCTTTGGTGAAATTTTTCAAACTGAAAACACATTGTGATAAAAGCACTGGCCTTCCCAGGCCTGCTAGCAGGTAGTGAAGGTACATCCCTCTAATGACCACTCGTCTCTGTCCCTCTGGATGGGCGGTCATCGGTCTTTTGCTTCATGTGATCAAGCAGTGGTATTGTGCGTAGAGCCCGTACATGGCAGGACTTGATTTTCTGCTATTTTGATGTTACTCATAATGAAAAATGCAAATGCTTAACTGTTGCCTTGGCCACAGGACAGCTTCCACAGCATTCAGACAACCCAGACACCCTGTGCCACAGCAGTGACAGGATATGACAAGACAGCAGCAGTGCTTTCCCCGGTCAGCCCTGGGGTGTGTTTCTGCCGCCGGCTTCCCACCTCCCCTGGCCAAGCACAGTCCCTGCTGCGGGGAACGCCTGCTCTGGGCACGGGAGACGTGCCGTCCCGGGGAGGACCTCCCCGTCTCCTCAGCCCCACGAGGGCTGGGACGTACCTCTGAGACCAGGCAGCGTAGGCTCGGGCATTCAGTGCGTACTCCAGTTCAAACCGACTGCGCAGCGCTGCGACGTGGCTGCGGCCAGGGCCTCCCCGTGTGACGAGGCAGTCTGACGAGGAGGAGGGAGACAGAGAACCGCTGCTGTTGCTGGAGGCGGGAGACATTAACTGGATTTAAAAAACAAAAGAAAGAAGGCACTGTTATTACATGTTTAAAAGTCTTTCCCCAGCTCTTTCTCATAAGTTGCATGTCCCATATTTCCTCTGCAGTTTGGCTGAAAGCAGCAGTGTCTCCTGACTTCCATCAGCTGAGGAGAACTGTTTGCTGCCTGCCAAAAGCGGTCAATTCAGCATCGCCCGGGGCTCTCCAGCTGGGGCTGGATGGCTTTCCAGCAGACACGCTTCAGTGCAGCCTGAGTTACCTTGCTTGCGACCGCCGCTGCGCAGCTGGGAGACGTCACTGCGTGCCCAGCAGCCATCCCGCCCGGCGTCCCGGTGCGGGGTGCAGGCTGAGGGGAAATGCCAGCGCAGGGCCAGCGCATCGCTCGCCGTGTTCGGACGCATGGGCCAACCACACAGCGCGGGCACCTGAGGCCGCAGGGACGCAGACTGGCTGACGCACGTGGTCCCTGCCACTCCTGGCTTCTGGGTACTTTAAAGGAGCAGAAATGTTTTGCTGAGAGAGGAGAAAAAGGAGAGGAAATAGAGGAAGAAAACTCTCCACCTTCATCCTTCATCAGCTGCAGCACTTAATTTACTCGAGATCTTGTACCTTAAAACTCCTCTCAGACAAGGCTTTGCCCTGGACTCAGTGGAGCTGAGGTCTAAATCCCCAGCTAAATAATGCTTGCTTTTTTTCTTTTTGTAGGTAAGCTCTTGCCACAGATTTCTTCCTGCATGCACTGCTGCCTATGTATCACAGAAGTCAGGTCTCCCGTGAGATTACACAGCTTCACATAGCTTCTCACAGCTTCTTGTGATATAGAGCTTCACTTTTTTTTTTTTTTTTTTTTTTTTTTTTACACTTAAAAGCTCCCATCTACGCATGGAGCAACCAGCTGCAGGTAGAGCATGAAGAAATACAATAGATTATGGGTGTCTTCTCTGACCCTTAAGCTCAAGAGCAGCGATCCATTTTAAAAGGAGGTGTTTTGGGTTTTTTCCGTGTTTTTTTTTTTTTTTAAGAACTCTTACATGCATACACACTCAAATACTCAGAGAAAATGTAATTTCAGAAATTGCAGCCCTGAGTCATTTACTTTGTTATGGCCACTTATCTTACCCCAGGCTGAAGGCTGACACATCCTTCTGTGTCACAGCCACAGTCCAGAGCAGGAGTTGCCTTTGCATTTATCCTTTGTGTGGTTTCTCTTTTCACCATTCTCCCAATGGTCTTGGCCAGTTTGTCTTTTCTTCTTTTTAAACCAAGCAGTCTTGAATCGGATGAATGGGAGTAATTTCAGAATTCTGCGCAGGACTGCTGTGAAGGGCATCCCCACGGCACTGGTCCTGCTCTCTCTGCCCTGTACCTCGCTGATGCTCACAGCCGTATCCGGTCCCTGCCTCCTCCTCCTCCTGGCACCTGTACAAACCTGGACTGACAATGGGCCTTACAAATGCAGTGTGTTGGCCAGCAATGGGACAAAGCAGCTCAAGCAGCCTGCAGGCTCCAAAGCCATCCCTTTCCTCAGGGGCTGCTGCCCTCCCCGCTTGTGCTCCCGACCAAGCAGCACACACAGACACTCTGTAGTGGAAATGGGGTCCTTACCTCGATATTGCACAGACAGTCCTCTAGTTTTGTGACTACTTCTGAAAACTCTGGTCTCCCCTGTGAACACAACAGAAAAAGCAGAGCTGTGTTAAAAATAGCAGGGGCACAAATCTTCTGCGATTAAGCTGACTCACAGGTACGTGATGAATCACAGCTCCCCTCCATTCCCCTTTCTCTGAATTTCACGGCTTTGTTTTCAGTCTGCTTGGGAACCTGGTGGGAACTAATCCTGATAGCATTCAGTCCCTCCTGTGTGCTGAGTGGTGTGCTCAGGAGACATCACTGTGTCCAGTGATTACACACACTAGATAACGAAGGGAGGCACTTTGAAAGCGTTGCTTGTTGATCTGCAGTGAGTTTACAGTCACGCAGTAGATCTGTATGGAGGGGTTTAGGATAGGCTGGTGGCTGCAGAGCAAACCTTGCAAACGCTGACAAGAGGGTGATAATGCTGCTTTGCTTTTCTCTGCCCAGAGGTCCTCCTGAAACTACCCCAAGGCCCTCAGAAGTAACTCAAAACCTTTGTTACTGAGAATGGTAGCAAAGCACCTTTAATGAAGCTCATTTTAATAAGTTTTTGCCCACACCTTGTGCAAAGTTCAAGCCATCCACTGGCTGATTGAGCTATCAATTGCCTTATAATTCTATCATGCAGCTCTAAAACATTAGCAAGATTAAGTGATGCTGGAGTGATACTGATGAGTAACAAAGTGCATTAGGATTCTGAAAAGATGGTTTCTTCTTATTGGGGCTAAATGAGCTGTGGAAATGCTAACAAGATACAGTGACTGTATCCATTACATAGTGCTTGCTTAAGTCAACAATTTAATATGACACCTTATTAATAAACTTAAACAGAATGTAAGTTACATGCTGATGATTATTAGCAGCTACTTTATAGTTACATGGAAACCAAAGCACCTGCCCTAACATTAACTCATGAAGTGCAAAGACAAGAGCATATTCAAGAATCCAGTAAACGCTAATAACAAATAAACTAGAGACAAAATAAAACAGCTATGCCCTGCACTGCAAATACATTTTATCTGCAGTTCTCACACTGATACATTATGTACATAACCAGTAAGGAGTACAGTAAGGAGGCAAAGCTCATTGCAGTCAATCGCTTGCCCAAAGTCACACAAACCTCCCTCTTCCTCTGTCTCGGTAGAGCACTTGAGATCGTGCTTTGGTTCACTAAACCAGGTAAGAAAGCTCCCAAGTATCCAGCACAAGGACAGGTTTAGGCACATGATAACCTGTCTTTCTAAGCTAGGCTATCGAGAAAAGGGACTCCAGGCCACTAATAAAGAACTCTGTTTCCAGCAGGAAATTCAAAGTCAGAGCATCTGGTTCAGTAACATGAAGCTGTAATATGAAACAAGGCCTCCTGTAACACCGGACAGTTACACAGGTTCCAAAATCTGCACCCATTCATCCTAAATAAAACTTCCATGTTGTTCAATGAGGACCTTGAATGCCAGAATGCCACCAGGAAACCAACCAGCCAACGTTTCCAAACCCAAAGCCTACCCCTGCAATGTGTTTCCTAATGCAGCTAATGCACTTTGTCAAACATTTTCTAACCAACCTGAATTTCCAGTCTCTGTGGGATATTTCTTGACTTGTCAGACAGTTTAGAGCCACGTGCAAAAATACCTGTGCAGTTGCTGCAGCAGTGTATGCAAAGATGGCATTACAGAGCACACAGGGCCCTTGCCTGGCTGACACACAGAAGCGCATGAAGGACCTACCTATCTTCATAGTCTTCCAGATGAGCCTCCTAGAGATGACATTCACCTGGCTGCTTTCTATTTTCCACCACCAAGGAACACTGTCAAAGCCCAGAATTTATGAACAAACCCATCATTCTTATGATCTACAAATGCCAGAGCAGTAACTCTGTCAGTAAGATGGCCTCAACTCAACTGAGCCAGCACAGGTGCCCACACACTCCAGTACCTGCAGCTGCATTTTCATGTGCAAATACACAGATCTGTGTATAGACCCTCCAGTCAGCAGATACAGCTGGGATGTAGCATCAGAAAAGTACCAGTTATCAGCCCTGCTTTGGGAGATTTGACCCTCAGTATAAGGACAGAGATATCCAGACTAGTTAGGGGAGGGTCACTGTTGTCCCTCTGCCGTGGTTGGTCTCAAGCACCATTAAATCCTGCTGTGGCCCTGAAGGCTACCAGTTTGAGGATGATGGTGTTTTTGCAATCTTGCTTTAGTTCATGTTCCCATTAGTGCAGAAACAGCAACAGACTGCAAAAGCCAACATAAAATGATCTTTCTGTAACCACCATTTTACAATCTCAGAAGGGAACACTTGTGTATTTTATTTTCTTTAATGCTGTTGCTACTGAGCTAATTGGGATAATCAGATGGACTTCCCCAATCATTAAAAACCAGTCGCAACTGCAGCATGTGATAAAAGTGCTGTAGCAACCACCTTACTGCAACCACTCCTTGTTAAATCAGACTCCTATCCTGCAGACATTGCTGGGCTCCGAAAGACAGTCATCACAGCAAATGCAACACACATTTTTGAAATTCGCAGTACAGTTACTTTCTATCCTAAAGAAGAGTTTATTAATTGTAACACATATCTGAGGTTTGTCTTTATCAGCATTAATCAGTCGCACATGAAAATTCCCAGGGTATCAGCTGGGGAAAAAATATTCATTGTGTTTACTATTTTAAGCCTCTCAAAATTAAATTTCTTATCATATAGGGGGAAAACTGAAATAATAGGAAGACCCATAGAGTTTAGACAGCTGTAATAGGAGAGGCCCATTTTAGGATCAGTGATGTAGCTGATGAGAACGAGCCACTCTGGGCGAGATGTGCGTGTGAAATGCATACATCATTGCCTTGCACCCTGCCTGGCTCTAAGTGTTGTTGCTTTCTCACTTCTCTAAGCAATGAAAAATGCATCCCAAAACAACAGCAATGATAATAATAAGCAATGTAGTCATTTTGAAGTATAATAGAACAGATGGCTTTCAGTTTTTCAAACAAATATATCATGTCATGGCGTAGGAAAAAACCAAACTAATAGTTTAGATGCACAGGAGAATTACATGATGCTTCTGATAAATGATAAATGATCCAGTGCCTGGATGGAGCGGGAGGCTGGAGGAGGACTGGGTCCCTATGATTCAATCCAAGCAAGACGGAGATTGTGGCAGTGAGCTGGGCGACGCATCTGGGCAGACTGACAGAACCGGGAACTGACGGCAGACTGACTGCAGCTCGGCATGCAGAGAGGGAGCCGGTGGGGAGCGGCATGGACTTCTGCCCGGCTCCCTCAGGGGCTGTGGCGAGCAGCATTTTTGCCATGCAAGGCTGGCAAAGGCACGTGCGTGCGTGTGTGTGTGTGTACTTTTCTGGCTTTCTTCTCCACAGGACTGAGGTTATGATTGCCTGGAGTCTGGCCACGTATTCCTGAAGTCTCATCCTGGGAGCGGGCTACACCATCATCAGCCACAGCTGTCGGTAGGCTTTGGGGAAGTGCATGGAGCTGGTGTAACCTCCAGAGCTGTTAATGCTTTGACACGGGGTTGTCCGAGAGACCCTCCACATGCTTGTGTGCTGATGTTCCCTGTTCTCCAGGCCACGGCTGGAACAGCCCTGCTATGGAGAGGGGTCCTGTGGGTGACCCCTCGTCTGTCCCAGCAGACACCAAGCCAGCGGGCACCAGACTGGGACTTCTGCAATGCACAGCTGTCCCCAGGCCTTTGGGAAGGGTTTACACCTGACTGTTTTCGTTCTGTTTTAGTACCTACAATATATTTGCCATTGGATGTTTAGTGAACTGTCAACATAGTATAAGTACTCCTTGAATAACATTAATTAAAGGAACAGACACCTTCCTGCGATTTCAGAAATTACAAAGCTATGAGTAAATTTTTCTCCCCCAATAATGGAAAAGAACCACCTTCTTTGCATTGGAACAAGTGAAAAACATGGTTTACTAGCTCCAAAGATCATAAATATGATCTGTTTAGGATTAAAGCTACAATAGGAAACAGAGAACAAGAGCCAGAATATTTCTATAATTTGTAAATCATGTTCATGTCTCTCTTTTGCAGCTGCTCCTGTAAAAACTAATGCCTTACGCATCCCTTATGGGATGCTCACAACAAGTCGAGGGTGTTCTGTGCCCTGGACAGAAGGAGCCATTCCAGGAGATGGGAAGGCCCTGCGGGATGAAGGAGAAGCGATGGAGTCCTGGCAGAGGTGGTTTCCTTGCCTGGAGCTGGGTGCGACCGCCCGGGAGGTGCACTGGCCATCTGAGCCACTGCTGAATATTCAGCACTGGTTTTGCATGCGACACCCCAGACAGTGTGCGCAGCTGTCACTGTCATGTCTTTTAGCTTCTTGGGGCATCTGCAGTATTTTCTCTGTCCTCAAGTCCCATATAACACTTCATCCTTGTCACCTACATTTTCCTTTCCCACTGAAGTGCGGGAACCCTTGTTTCTGTGCGCTGACCCTCATTTCTGTACAGCTGCCAAAAGCCACCCTTGAACACACTCTCTTTCATCTTACAGCTTTAAATTTTGCCTGCAGCCATACCACCACCTGCAGTCAAATCACCTAAGGCTGAGATCTCATGTGAGCTCTCAGGCTCAGAAAGCTTAGGCATAGTCTGTGCTTGGACAAAGGTCTGCTGGGAAGCAAAACAAATCATGACAGCCCATCTTGGAGCCCAGCAGTTGTTTTCTTAACTTCTTTTAAGTCTTCCTATTGCTTGGGTTAATCAGGGCTTTGCATTTGTTATTGCTGCTCATGCAGCCTTTAACACCTGAGGCTTGCTCCTCCTCTCCCTATGGACTGCAGGACCTGTTCCGAGTTTTCAAAAGGCACAGTGTTTTATCTTTTATCTTCTACACTGTCACTATGTGTTTCCAGTGAGCTCTGTCTTCTGTGGATGTGGCTTTCCTGTCTTTGGCTAGACCAGTTCTACTAAGCCATGTGTCAATAATCAAAACTGTCATCTTTACAAGACAGCGAAGAAATTTTCTGGTGGGGCGATTCTTCAAAACAGCAGAGAAGTTCTGGTCCATAGTTACGGCATCTGCAGTACTAAGAGCCTTGCCGGGAGGCAGAGATGCGTTAGTGATAAACTCGGCTCAGCATAAGTGTGAAGCTTGATAAAGTCTACATGGCCTGAATTACATGTGGACAAACATGTTCTCATGTGCAGTTACTCAGAATGCCTCATCATCTGGAGAAAGGCTGAGGGGCCATCATCGGTGATTGACTGCAGAGACTAATGGGATCTCTGCAAGGCTGAGGGGCCATCATCAGGCGATTAACTGCAGGGACTAATGGGATCTCTGCACTGCTAGAGAACATGCCTGCAGAGCTGCCCTGCCCTCCATCTAACATTCGCTCTGCCAGAGCTTATCCAGTGTTCCAAGACAATCTGTGTGCACTGGACTGCTGGTAAGATGGTATGGCAGAAGACTTTAATTCATCTTACTGTCCTATCTCAATTTCCAACCACTGTAGAGTACAAGAAAACTACCATAGTATTTTCAAATATCCATAAGTTTATGTATGCAAATTTGTCTTTTAAATTTATTATTTGTTACAGGAGTTGTTGGTCTCTCTTGTTTAGTCTTGGCCTTCTTTATGTGGAAACTTGAACAAGGTAGAACAAATGAACACGCATCAGGAAACTCCAGATGCATCCCAGTGTGAACATGAGCCATGAAATTACCTCACTACAGGATCCTGTAACTACTGCTTAGCTTAGGAAAATGAAATAATTGTCATGCCTATGGTTGGGTCTGACAAAGAAATGTGCCACTTCCTGCAGGAAAACAGGCCTCATGCAATCCTAAAGGCAAATACGATGTCCATATGCCTGCAGACATCGCTTGGGGGCACTCAGAGGGACACTGATCACAAGGAGTGGCTCCGTCCCTTGCCTCAAGCGCAGGGTGATGGAGCTGTGCTCTCAAGAGCTTTACAGAAATGTGCCTGTGAATGAGGACACCGAGGCCCTGAAAGGGGATTTCTAGAGAGCTGTTGCTCACCCAAGCAGTCTGGGCCAGTGGGAAGATTTGCAGGTCCAAGTAAGGGATTGTTATGGTTTCCTAACCTTGCAGTCAGGTTAATAGTAAAGCCTGCAAAAGATAATACTGGACTAATATGAGGGAGGGACAAGAAAGCAGTATATTTGGTTTGACTGAAAAGCAGAGGAACAGTACAAACCACAAGTTTTTCCTACTCTATCCTTCAGAAAGCTGATGGATGTTTTTAATCAGCAACAAAATTATCTTTAGAAAATGCCTCACACATGCACAGTACTCCTGAGTAACAACAGTGTGCCATTGAGGACAGTGGCATTTGAATAAGTTTAACAGTAGAGGGGCTGTCTTTAGAATAATACAATACTATCAGAGCATTCTGCAGTACTCTCTGTGGAAGTGAGCATGAAGGGGATCCTCTACGTTCTTGAGAATGAAAGCAAGAAACATGCCCTGGTTTTGTAACTGGGATGATGGAGTAGATCGGAAACTTCTGCCAGAGAGATGCATTTTTTTTTAAAGTCTTTTTAAAAGGCACCCAGATAATACACTGAACCACATTACTTTGAACTTGAAGGCAGATTAAAAATAAAGATTTTGTTAGTGAAAACAATTTCTGCTACAGAATCTGATTTGAATTACTGTTTTGGAGGCAAGACTTTCTTCCATTCCTCACCCCTCTCCTTGTGATCCTCCTTAGTTCTTCTCTCCTGCTCCTCAGACAAGGTCTGCCTTCTCTGAGAAAATCCCCCCCTGAAAATTCCCTTCTCAAGAAAATTGTACCAATGTTACACCATTCGTAAAAGTTTCTATCTTTCTGTGACATAAAGAGAGCTAGACAGACTGTTCTTGCAGCCTTTTCACTGCATTGCGCATTTTTTCTGAGCGCCATATAAATCTGGCTGTCATCTGTTATCCTTCATCACTCTTTGATTATCCATTCTGGTTTCACAGAGCAGCACAGTGGCATCCAGCCATCCTGATCATCAAAAATTTCTTCCTTATATCCAATCTGAATCCCCCCTCTTTTAGTTTAAAACCATTACTCCTTGTCCTGTCAAAACAGGCCCTGCTAAGAAGTTTGAAAATACAGCACAATACTTCAGCCAAAGCCAGGAATGCAAAATCCAGACCCAAAAATTTAACTATAATAGAAACGTCAAGAATTTGGGAAGCACATGAGAATGTTCACAAGGAGGCCTGCCTGTTCTGAATTCCATAATTCAGCTGCTGCCGCACAGGCTTCTGCAAAGAATGGTACAATTTCATCAGAAATGAACACTGTTCAATGCTAAAGTGAAAAGTTGCCAAGTTCATACTTTCGTATTCTGGTTAACAGGCAGTTACTAGGAGTAAAAAGAAGAATCTGATATTGCAGACAACCTGAACACGACTGATAACACTGGAGAAGATGGAACAAAACTACAGAAAAGAGGAAATACGATGCCAGCTAATGAAAATGAATTGAAGTTGAAAACATTACTTTTCAGACACACAATCTCGGATACCAAAACAGAAAATATTCTATAAATTTTGGATGACGTGAAGGGCAAAACATACTAACACTACAAAAAGTTTCCCCTAGTACAGTCAGTATCCTCAGTCCTGCAGAAAATGGAAATATATTACTGGGCAGTGATACCAGTCTTCAAATTAACAGTGCTGTGCATACAGAAGACATGCAGGATTCACAAGACTTTAAAAACAATCAACAAGACAAGGATGAACTTGAAGAAGCTGAAATGCCACCAGAAGAACACGAAGAGGCTTTGTTGCCAGAATTAGGAGATGGCAGTTTTGAGGCAGAAAATGAGCTGCTGTTAATTCTTTGCAGAATAAATGAAGCCGAAAACTCCACTACAAAAGCTGTGTTGTGCCCACCATCTGTGGAATATGCTAACGCATCCCCTTTGGAGGAAAAAGAAAGGGAGGAAAAACCCATCATGACAGTGCTCTTTTTCTTCCTTCAAATCTGAGGCAAACTGCCCCAGCCTTCCTGAAAGCTATTAGCATCATCATGGTGGGAAATTTCAGCAAGTCCAAAAACATGAAATAGCTTTTGATTTAAGTATCAGAAAAAATTAAAGGTAATTCAGCTCAAGTAATTTTACTCAATTAACTGAGCAGTGGTTTTGGTAATGGGAGGAATCAGACAGGAACGGCATCTGGTTGTGTCAGAGCCAAACAGAACACATAAGTGAGAGGAAGGTAAACCAGCAAAAGTTCACTGACTGGAGCAGCCACTGATGTTTATGACCTGGAAAATAAAGCCTGAATTTAATTTAATGTAAAAATTTACATTTACAATTCGCAAAACCACGTCTGATCTGTAATGTGCAAGTTGCAGTACTTGGATTTCTGTGCTTCTCTTACTACTGTTTATTTGATGGAAAGCACAAAATCTTTTCTATACCTGCATCTATTAAATTCTATCTTAAATTCACGTGGCTTGAGAAGTTTTCTGGTCTTCATTCCCTCGCAAAGCACCGGTACCCACCGAGTTCCTGGCAGCAGGGACTGACATTTGGCTCTCTCCAGGACAGGTCCCCTTCCATTCACACCCCGAAAGCTGCTGTTCGGATCCCTGGGTGGTGAGCCTATAGCCGGTCACTGCTTGCTCTCCAAACGGTTAGCTACAGCCGCTGCTCGGAAGCTGAAGTTTAGCACAGAAGGAGCTCTGAGCAGATCCAAAATATTCTTAGCTCTCTATTTCCTTAACTTCCAAATCTGTGGGTCTGAAAATTTATCACTAAACTATCACCTGATTAGGACTAGTCTCTTGGACCAGGCAATATGTCCTCACTGGTCTGATCTACTCTGGTTGAGAGGAGAAAACCATATCGCTTTCAAAGCAAGAAACACAGTGAGAAGTAAATATATATTAAGTGGTGTTTCCTGGAATGCAATTACACAAGATCAGTAAGCAGAGTTTATCTTACAGCAACTTAAGAAAAAAACCCCACGAAACAGTGAGAAGTTCTGGATATTACGAGCTGAGTGGCTGCCACGAAGAAGAAAGAGTCCCGATTGCTGCCTATTTCTCTCAGAAATGGGGTTTCTCATAACCTCTGACAGTGTGTCCTATCCCCAGCTGTTCCCAGAGCAGGGACATTTCTGTGCCAGAAATGCTGGGGACAGGACTTCTGATTGTCTCCAGATCGTTCGGCCTGCTACACACCTCCTGTGCTCGTATCCTATTCGTGTGTCAGGGAACAGCCTCAGCACATGGTGTCAAAGCAGTCAGAAGTTTATACATTTCCAGGGTAACTTGGTCCCTCTTTGTGATGGCATGGATTTCATTTTTCACACGGAAACAATCAAGAATTCATAGAAAATGCCTACAAAAGTCTGAAAGCAGCAAGTATTTTTGTAGTCACTCAGTAATAAGTCATAAAGTTACATAATTACTTAAAGTTTCATTGAATGGGTAAATGTTAATTTCCTTTCCCCCTCAACCCACCAACTCTTCCGTATTTCTTGACATACACCATAATCTGTCTCGAGGCTTTCTGCAACAGCCCTTGCCTCAGAGGCCAGGCGTTTGGGGCAGCCACGTGCAGTCAGAGGGAGGGCTGGCCGCAGCAGCAACGCCCGCTCCCCTGGTGCCTTCCATCTGCGCGAGGCGGGGGCACTCACCTCGGGGCAGGCGTTCCAGCCCCTCATCAGCAGGGCGGAGATGGGCTTGGGGATGGAGTACCCGATGGGCGGGCGGATGTGGTGGTATGCCATGTCTGCTGCCGCCGCCGCTGGAAGCCAACCGCCCGGCCGAAACCCGTTAGCACCCAGCCACCACGCACGCTCCTGGCACAACACAGCCTCGTCACTACCGAAATACACCCCAGCAGGTACAGAGGCGTCGAACCATCGACCCCGTAGGTGAAGTCTTGTAGCTTACAAGAGGCTTTCCAATCCATACTGTTTGTAACGATAGCTAAGGCAGTCCATAACCCTGAATGGAACACATTGCTGTTAAGGCTGAGCATGGGTGAAGACAATCTAACTTACCTTGGGGGAAAAAAATGAGTTAACCTTCAACTCACTTTTAGAAAAATTTAGTAACTTCATTACTAAGACAGGGTGACAGGTAGACTCCATTTGCGGATAAATTGGTAACAGACATATAAAATAACCCATGGCTAGTTCTGTTGCAGTCCAAGACAAAAATTAATTTTAAATGTTTCTTTAGTAAAAATTTAGTGAGTGACTTTTTATAAGTGCAAGCCACTAGTGACTGAGAAAAAATTGCCAAAATGTTTTCCTAGTTGTGTTTACATGTTTAGTGAATCCAAATACATGGTTAATCCCTCTTACTCCCTTTGAGCAAAATTTTTGAAGTCAAAACAAATGTATTTTGAACTCATATCAAAAGCTAAGTAAAATCCTTTGTTTGCCTGACATTTTAAAATTATATGACAGTATATGGGACGTGCAGGGAATTGTTAGATTGCAGCCATGAGATTGTAACAAGAATGGTCTAATTTTCTTTAACCATATCCCATTCTCATCACAGTAATTATCATAAGAATAGGTTAATTTCAGCCATTGACTGTCCTCATTGCAGCTTTTGTCTGCATAATTGTGTTTCAGAATGTTGATATCAGATAAATACCGTGATATGGTAACTATATGTAGACAGGAGAGCTAAACACAGTTTGCCTAATTTTGATTCCACTCTAACTAGGTTCTGAAGGCATGACGCACATACTACCAGATTAATCTTTTGCCTAGCAGATGCTATGAAAATGGGGCAAATGCAAATAAGATTAAGATAGCAATGCAAAATGCTCCACTTTTTCCTGCCAAAGGTAGAAAGTGTAAGTGATATACTACCTATTGGCAAAATCTCGTCTCACCAAAGTTAATAGCATTTATTCCATCAGTTGAATGGGGTCAAGATTAGAAAAAGAAAGGGAGAAACACACTGTGTGCCTCTGTATACTTCTATAATACTTCACAAAGTTTGTCTGTGTCACCTCTGTCTGGGCTCGCCTTTCACTGTCACTGGGCCTCTTCTTCAGCTAAAAGATATATCTACTATAAAGTACTTTACAATGGCTGAATTAAATGACAAGAATCCATTCTTCTCAAAGATGAGCAAAACAAAAAAGAGTTTGGGTGGTCCCCAAAGCTCTGAACTTAGTGACGCTTTCCAGCTTTACTACGTGCTGTCCTTGAACTTCTGAGTGCTTTCTGGTTTGACTGGTTGGTCACATCCTGCCTTTCCTCTGGGTCAAGGCAACTATAAGCCACCAGCAGAATCAATGACAACCTACCTACAAAAATGTTATTTCACTTTGTTCTTGTCTGTGGATCAGAGGAACAACTGTAGTAACTGCAGAATGTTAGTCAACATCTGCTACATTGGATACCTGTATGTTTAGAACCATAACATACTGTTTCCTTGGGCAAGTGTCATCTTTGCTTTATTTTTGCTACATGGGATGCATTGGTTCAGCTTCTGAATCTAGTTTCACACCTATAACTTCCAGACATCTACACCCCTGTGCTTCCCCACAAAACTCTACCCAAACCTTACACGCTGACAGTTTTACAGGTGTGAATTGAATGCCATTGAAAACAGCCTAGGAAGAGGACTTTCAGGTATCTGAGGGTGTCCTCTTGCCCCCTGGACCTTCCAAAACATATTTTAAATGGCAGATTGTACGCCAGGTAACTGCCAACATCTACTTCCACATGCAGACTGTGCCTAGAGCACAGAAGGATGCTTTTGCAGTCACGCCTTGTGCAAGCATACATACCTTGATACGAGATACAAGAGATACCTAAAGCATGAACAGAGAGCTGCGCTGCAGTTCTCAGGAAAACAGGATGAGATCGGCCTGGGAACCATGCACGGGTTTCTAACTTGATGACAGACCCAGCCGCCTCAACTACAGCTCAAGCAAGTGGGCAACAAACATCAATGCGTCTGCTGAAGAACCTACATCCCAGCCACGCAATCCTCAAAGGAAACCAGTGACCACAAAGATGAAGATCAGACACACTATCCGCCTGCACTGGTCTGCAGAACTGTTTGCTTACGTGAGCCCAGTCCTGCTGAGGTGATGCAGTGTCCGCGACACACAGCTCTCGCGCCTTCCGCGCATGTGTATTCGTGCTCCACGCTCACCCACTCGCAGCCTGCTTGTGAATCCCAGCTGTTTTCTAAACTGGCTGCAAACCTGCATGGCGTTTGCAGTGTAGCCTGGGCTTTCATAGTATAGTGATCTGATAATCACATCATTAATTATCAACTGGTTGCCTAATTGTGGTAATTGAAGTATATGCATATGTGTATATACCTGTTTTAATAGATGTTCCACCTGATAAATCAAGTAGTGACTTTGATTCAATACCTATAAAAATGTTTATACCTATTTATCAAGTAGAAATCAGATGAATGGATATCTTATTTGGTATAGAGCGCACCCTTATAGAAGTAGAAAAGTAGAGAACATGGAATTGCTTTTAATGGGGTGACTACTTTTACTTCAATGGGTGACAGTTAGTTTACTTTATAATCAAATTTTATAGTCATATATTCTTTTCAACACATAATTATTTCAATGAGCTTCTCTAGAATGGCTTCCTGGACCTGTAAGCCTGCACAAAGGTAACTATAAACCAGAAAAAAAATCAGCGATGCATAACTAGCATTAGTGTTCTGCAGATACCATACAAAATATCCATAAAGAAAGTTCCTTACCTTGAAATACATACTTTGAAAAAAATATGGGATTTGTATTTAACTGAATAGTCATTATCTGAACATATGTCTTAAATGTGGAACTTTTACATAGACTGTAAAACATACAACATCCTCAAAGCTGCTTTTTGAAGAATATATATAAAGTCAGACATGCACATTCAATATCCTTTTTTGTGCGTAAATATATCTTTCACAAGCAGAACAGTTTGAGGTACCACAGAGACTAGGAGCTAGTTATAAACCATGACTGCTGCATCTGAAAAATTGCCTGCTTTGTGACCTTGTATAAAGTCTTAGCTTCCTCATCCATGGAAGGGGGAAAAATACACTTACTCAGGCCACAGAGAGGTCCAAAATTAGGTGCTGGGTGGGCTGGTGAAGGCAGTGAACTCACTTTAAGGAGAATAGACCTGGATCAAACCTGATCATTTTGGAAAACTGTATCCCCATGTTTGCAGGCACCAATATGGTCTTTGGAAAAAGTGTTTGTAACAGGATTCAAACAAACTGTTGGTGAGCTGGAGATGAGGGAGGACCCATTACTAGAGTGGAGGACAAGGAAAGAGCACTCCCTGGGCATAGCGTCTCAGCAAAGAAAGAAGGGACAGAAAATGCTTCTCTTTAAAGCTGCAGAAACAAAAAGCCAGCAAGCCTGTGGAAGTCAGGATGAAGGGAACTTATCATTCAGTTGATGTACTACATTTAATAAAAGAGGGGAGGACGAGGGGGGAGAGAAAAATTACCCCTATACCTTTTTTATGCCTTTTATTCTGTTTATGAAGCTCCCAGTGAGCTTTAACTCTTCTCAGGTCTTCTAGTCCTATCTAGACCATAATTTGAACAGAGTAGAATGATTAATTCAGAATGAACCAAGACTAATGTTAGAGATGGTAACCTTGCAGAAGGTGTTGATAATATGGGTGACTGTGTACTAGAACTGCACCAGGAATGGGCAGTCCTGATCTTCAGTTAAATGGCCATGAAACAAGAGCCAGTGGAAGAAGAATACAAACGTGAAAACGATTCAGATCTGAAGCTCAGGTTCACAGCTAAAGGCATTTTATTTCTAGAACCTGAAGTGGAATTGAGTCGGATGTTTGGCTTCTGCATCACTTTAGCAGTCAGAAATAAAGAAATACGAAAAGCAGCTAATGCAGCGTAGAAGATCATATAGGAAGCTGGCACACTAATTGCCAATGATATTAATGACAGCTGCCTTTTTCATGCAAGAGGCTGAACCTCTGAACATCACAAGGGCATCCAAAGGAATTAAATGGAGGTATAATCTCAAAATAGCAGAAAAATGAAACTGTATTTAATGAATCCCCTAACAAAAAAATAAATCAGGGAAGGAATCAGTAAGTAAAACTTTACATGTATCAAAAATGACTTTGAAAAGATAAACGCAACACCCTAATGAGAAAAATACATTAGTTTTCATTTAGCATTAAGTATTTTATAAAGCAGTTGACCTAAGGAGAGAATAGCATATTGATAGGCATCTAAGAAGCAGAACTAGACATACAGATATACACAGACACATAGATGTATGAGCACCAAAGGACTATACACTGCTACTGATATTTATATTCTGCTTGGGTGCAAACTTTTGTATGAACTAAGGGAAATTCACCTCCTTCAAGGTCATAATGCTGCCCTGCCATAGCCTGTGCTTTCTCCAAACAACAGAAAATCTACTTGAAATCCACCTGACAAACTTTGCACATCTCTTCCCCAGCAACTCTTCTCTTTGTAGCTCAAACCCAGTTAAAACAAAACAAAAGATTCCCCCTATTCCACAGCCGTTTCAGCTGCTGGAGTGAAATGTCTCTGAAAAGTTCCTCCAGGCCATCTCCTGTGTGGAGAGGGCAGCACAGCAGCATGGCCACAGACCCAGCTCCTGCCGCAGGAGGACAGACCGCAGCAGCTGGTGTCGATGGCAGGGGGGTCCGAAACCTCTGGCATTACCCGCGCTGAGGCACTCTCAACCTCTCACGACTCCTGGCACACATCAAGGGGTCAAAAAATCGCAGGGAGTGCAAAGTGTAGTCCTGCACATGCTGATTTGCTGTTGCTACCCCACCACTCTTTGCAGGTGCTTCTTTAAGCTACACGAGAACAAGCTCCAGGAGGAGACGTATCAAGGAATGGCTTTACCATCCCACACCACTGTGAGAGGCAAAAGGCCTACAAGTAGAGTGACCTGTTCATAATCCTTGAACTGGATAAAGAATTCTAAGTTGTGTAGATCTGTAGTAAGTAATATATGTGATTATAGTGGGATAGTTCTACACTTTTCACTGAATGCATAATCTTAGCACGTAATAAGAAACTTTATTAAAATATTGGTTAATATCATGCAGTGTAGCTACTTCTCTAGTTCAGAGAAATGTAAATATTAATTCATTGGGCATCTTACCTGGTTTCAGGTGAGCAAATGGAATTTCACCAGTTAAGAGCTCCCAGAGGCATAAAGCATAGCTGAAAACATCAGCGTTTATTGTGTACCTTGTACACTGGGTAAACACCTCAGGGGCCATCCAGCGAAGGTTCTGCACATCAGGAAACATCAATAATACAGTAACAGTGTTTAGTTCATCATTTATGCATATTTTCCTGTATTTGTATGCTTGTTTTCCTTCCTGTTCTTACCTCCTTGCCTCAATTGCTCCATAAAAAACTGGTAAATTTGCCCAGAATAATTGTCACCCTGGCTTGCAAAATTTAGGCAGCAAATTATTGCACATTATATGCAACAGCATTGGTATGGTAGCTGTCTCAACCCCATAAAGCCAGAGTGATCAGGCTTTAAACATAAGAATAGTGCTAGAATAAAAGCAGAACACCCAGCCTTAAAGTCTGGAGGCCACACCATAAGGTCCGAGCATGCCATATAACACCAATTAACTCCAGCTGGTAGATGGAAAAGCTGATGACAATTGCACTGGGTTGGTGCCTTCTCTCTGGGGACCTCACTGCTTTCTGCAGAAGCCCAGTCCTGAGGCTGCTTCACAAGCAACCAGCCTCTCGCTGGAGTGATGTGTTCAGGGTCTTTTTGCACCTCAGTAACTTAATCTACACTCCTCACAAGACAGCCCTTCTCAGCGAGACATCATCAAACCCCTGCAGGTCCCAGGTCCCAGGCAGCAGTGCATATTACTCACACACAGCGAGTGCATATTACAATTTGTTAAAAAGATGATTGCCAAACTCTGGATTTAGCATCACCCATCCTATTCCACAATTAGTCACTATGGTGATGCAAACATTCATCACCGTGCAGTGGCACACAGAATGCATCTGGACTAAAACTTATGAAGACAACAACACTGTCTTGTAAAGCTGACTCTCTGTGAGCAGCAGACTTGTAGTGGAGAAAAGAGCTCTGAGAAAATCAGTGTCAAATAACTAACTCCCTATTAGAAATAGGAACCACCTGCCAGCAATGTGTTTATCTGAATAGGGAAGGGTGGATGAAAAAACATGACACACTACTAAGGATTTTGCGGGCAAATGAGCTCCAAAGACAAGCTTATAAAGCACGATTTTCTGTTGCAGATATTCCATATTCACTTATCTCTGCTATGAAAGAGGCCTAAAGGAAAAAAACCCCATAAAGAACCATAAGATAGATAAAATACTATACCAGTTCATCTTTTCCAACAAATATATTTCTAATGTCATTTTCTCCTGAACTGAATTTTCCTGTGTGTGTTATACTAATTATGTCAAACAAAACAAGAAACAAACCCCAGGTTGTTTTGTCATATTGTCTTCATCCAGGGATTGCAAAAATCTAGATTCTGAAACACACAGAACAACAACAAAATATTACTGTCAGACCAATACAGAGACCCACCTGATTATACAAAAGTCTTGGTAAAAATTGTGTTTGTTTTTTTTAAATAACTCCAGGATTTTGAAAGCCCAGGCAAACTGTGATAGCCGTTTTTCAACAGCTCCGATCCTGAGCACTTGCCGTGAAAGAGGAGGGGACATCTTCTATTAGAGGCATTTGCACTCAACGTCTTCCTCTGTCATACTGCTAAAACTGACTCAAACTGAGCTGCGTCATCTCACCATCACCTGGGCTTCCTTCTCAGATAAACAGTGAGGTATTCCATAGCACTTGCTAACTTAGATGAGACAAAAAATAGGGGTATTCTCATCCCTAAAAGCCTTTTCTCTTCTTTTATAGTAACAAAATTAAGAATAACCTCCTCAGCATTTTCAGTCAGCACATGTTTAGTTTTGGACAATATGAGGTTAATTCATAAAAGCTCCTTACCTCCAAAATCAGCAACAACTGCATGACCGTCTTCATACAGGAGAATATTGTGACTGGGAAAAGAATATTATGATAGATAATTGTTCAGTAGTGTCTTAAAGATGGTGAAAATTCTACAATTTTTGGTTCATAGCTAAACTCTTGACAAGTTTGAATCACCTGCTTAAGTAGATAAATGTCTATATAAAAAACACTTTTAGCTACATCTCATTGTTATAAACTACACATTAACTCTGAGAAGGCACTCTGGCTTCATGAATAAGAATGTCAGTTTCTAATCAATACTAGAACAAAATAATTTCTGTAATTAGTTATGGATCAAGTATAACAGCTTTATTCAATATGTACACTGAATTGCACTGATGAAGTGCAAGAGATGATATTTGAATATAAACACAGTAGTGGCCTTTAAATAAAATCAGATGGGCTGATTCTTTTCTCTTTTAAGGCTTGCGTAAGTGTAAATTCATAGTGGTAATTCCTAATTTATGCTGATGTATAGAAGGGAAGGAACAGATCTGAAGAGTCCACATAGAATGGGTCACTAGAAGCCATAAGCAATCCATTCAGCTGGGGGGAAAAAAACAATGACACAATGGTGACTCCTATTCCGTTAATACCCACACTTAATAATGCAAATGCTACTTTCATGAGACAAAGGTACTTTATTTCCTAAAGTTTCTCCATTTGCTCATGAAGAGAAGACACGTCCTTCATCCCGTAGCTTATCTCAGCATCTAGGATGAAAACTTCTCCCTCCTTGCACCGATGAAGATTTGTCAGCTGGTATTACTAGAGGTAAGATTTTGGTCCTGCCCTCCATTCGTGTTCCAGTTCCACATTGTCCCTTTTACAAGGTCTCTGAGATCTAGCAGAGTACAACTGATGATCTGTACTAAGTTACTTTGGACCTGAACCGAGTGTCAGGCGACGTGCCAGACTTCCGCCTGCTTGAGGAGTCAGGGGCACTCACGGAATTTGAACTGTTTCACCTTGTTGTCGATGAAATGCATATTCCTTGTCATTGTTTGATGGGCACAATCACAAGCATAAAGTGTTGTTCGTCACTGGACACCATATTACCAGAAATCTAGCAAACACCTTTAGCAAAAACATTTTGCACATTATGTACACTATATGCTCCACATGTACATCATGTGCAATATATGGTACAAAAAAAAAAGATTACAAGCAGAGTCACAGAGTAGTTGAGGTAGGAAGGGACCTCTGGAGACTGTCTAGCCCAGCCTCCTGTGCAAGGCAGGGTCACCTTCCCGCTGGCCTGCCTGATAACCGTCGCTGTATTAGTCTGCATGGGCACGGATGTTAAGTTTAGCCCAGCAGTAGTGAATTATTGCATTTTCTGTTGTTTTGCCCTGCATAACTGTACTACTTGGTTGTACTTGTTACTGTACAATTATTAAGAGATAGATTTTTTATCTGAAAAGCTATTGGTCTGGTGTCTGCCACTGTATCCCCAACCTGTAACTCAGCAGGGCCACCCTCAGCCCCTGCGCACACCACCCTAACTGACAGATGAGTGTGGCGATACAGCAGCACAGGCTGAAATAGCAAGAGGGAAGAGGGGTTAAAGAGAGGAGAGTAAATGTCCTCTAACTTGGATTACTATGAAATTTAAGAGCTGAAAACAGTGTCAGCTGGTCAACAGACAGCATTCATAAAAAACATTGAAATATGTTTCTTTTCCCTTCCTGGGGAAGCTCAGGACACAGCAATCAGAAGCTTTAGGATCAAAGGAAAACACCATCTTTGTCAGCTGTCTGCTCTGACACTGCCCTGGTGCATTACCAAGGTATTGTCCTTACACTTCATCCTGTATGTCCGCATACTTCACTCCCACAAGGACATGCCAGAGGTTAAGTAAACTGAGGTAATTAGGCTTTATTTTTAATTTCAACTCATCATTACAGCTGTTAGTTTGCAAACACATCTGCATGATGTGGAATCACTCAAATAAGTGAGACCCAAACACTGTACAGAAGCTGGTTTTCAGCACCTTGATGATAACGCCTGCACTCTGATACAGATTACTGAGGAGCAGGGACTAGGTGGAACATTTGGATGTATGGGCAGGATCACAAAAGAACTACATTTTGCATTTGTCCTTAAAAATTACATTCACAAAAGTTGCCGTGCATTTTGACTGTGGTAGTGGAACCTTTTGGTGGCATCTCCTTCCGAAGGTCCCTAGGCAAGCTGGACCACACCATGACAACAACGTCCCTGGAGACTGGTGGTTGCAGCTATGAGCGGCAGCAAGGAAGGATATGGGGCGATGGCTGGTGCCCGCGGGGAGCGGAGCGTAGGCTGCTGGGGACTGCGGCCGCAGCTGTATTGCCGCCCTTACCTGTGGTTTAACCAAACGGGACTTCGTAGGCGGGAGCGCGGCGCAGCCCAGCGCTGCTGGGGATGCTGGAGTCTGGGCGCGAGGGCTGCCGAGCAGACCGGGGTCTGTCCCCTGCCCCGGCCCCCCCACCCTCCGGGTGCTGCAGCCAGAAAGCGCCCGAGCACCGTGGAAAACGCCCTGGATTTCAGGTGCACAGCAGCCAGGGCGAGGCTCACGTTCACGTCTTCTAACCGAACTGCAGACAGCAAGAAATCCCAGGAAAATGTGATATTAATGCTAGACGTATCTGTTAGGCATTATTTCAATATAAAGTACTCATCTTTGCCCCAGACAGTTTCTGGAGTTAGGAAGGAGGGGATGAATGCAGGAAAATTCCTGTTTGGTCAGCACATGTGTAGGACAATCTCTGTCAAGACGTCTAGAGATGAGAGAAATCATTTATCAAAGATAATTACTTGTACTGACACCTCTAAAAGGGTTTTGATTTCCGTGAAATCTTTGGAACCATAGCAACCGCAGGCCTCAGTCAATGCAGAGGACTGGATAACCAGAACTTCACCTTAGATTGTCAGCAGAGATATTTGGAGGCTTCAAGTTAAACCTACTGGATTTGTCCTAAAACTACCAGAACCAAAGAAGTGAACTATGAGATCTGTGTGATGGTTTAAACCTATTTACTGAAGGTAATGTGAAGAAAATTCAGCTTTTTTAACATATTATTTGTTCAAAGACAGTGAGGGATATGGATGATGCCTGAGAGAAAATCTAACCATATGTATGCATCCTTTCTATTAAGTGGAGGATTTAAAGACATAAGCTTCCAAGTATGAACAAAACAACTACAAAAAGATTTCTACACAAGATTGTAAATATTCCTTATCCATTTTATACAAGTGTCATCTTGTGAACAGGTAGGCAGGATAGCTGCAAACCAATCCAAATCAAACCAGAGTATTTCTAACACTGAAACTCTGAGAAGGAAGATACTCAGATCAGATAAAAACCAAATGGGCATTTATTACACATTTTCACCTTGATACCTTCAAATAAGAGAAAAAAGTAACGTTACTCTTGGAAAACCATGAATTCTTATTTAGGGGCACTTTATTATTGGACTTGGACTGAACAGACAAAAGACTAGGTGATACAAGTGAGAAAAGTATCCACCCCTGAATTCTGGAGATTTAGAGTGTATCAAAGATAAGCCAACAAGACAGAAGTTCCTAGGCTTGCAAGCAGAATGTCTGCTGTGGAGGGATGCTCAGCCTGAACTAACTAGCCCTCTTTAGGGGCAGGGATAATTTTTCTGGGCAGACTGCTGTGACAACATACCAATGTTTTTAGCTCAGGATTGGTATTCTCGTGCAGAAGGAGAATGGGTATGTGTTTGGTACAGCTGTACCAGCTCATCTGCAACTCACTCAGGAATGTTTCACATGGGGTTGGCATATGGAAATGCCTCAGTTGACTTGGAAATTAATGTTTGAAACAATGTGCTGATATCGTCATCATTATCAAATGGAAAGAAAATTAAATTCTCAGAGAACCCTAAAAGACGTAGACACTGCACTCTCCCAGAAGCTATCAATGTACCACAGACACTTAAGCAAGTGGCTTCCAAGCTCTTGGTTCCATCTCCCTGATGAACACTGTATAGGAAAAGATTCAGAGCTATAGAGCAGCTGGACCTCACTTCCCTCCAAAAAGCATATGGTAAAATGCTGGTTCAGAGATAATTCATTCCTTAGTAGTTATTAAATGGAGATTGCCAAGAACCCAAATAGCTGTAATCTCTCGTTTCTGCCATAGCCCATAGTTTGAGAATTAACAAGTAGCCATCAAATTAATCAATAACGCACAGAACATACATTTATAACAAATTAAATGTAACCTTCTCAGTTCTGCCTCAGCTCTTAGTTATAATTTTGCAATTTCATTAACAAAAATACCCCAAAGTGAAAAAAACAGAAATGAGATTTCATTTCTTAAATAAGCAGCAATTGATACCTGAAATGTACAGAACAATATCAAAGTGAATGTCTAATTACAGTCAGATTTTTATATCATCTTTCTATAGTATATGTCGTCTCCCACTATTTCTAAGAGGAACATGAGAATTGCAGAGATGCCTTTCTACGGCCGCGTGACAGAGCAGGCAGCGCTCTGCTCCTTGCTGCGTCCTTCGGTCACATCGCACCGCAGACAGGCGAGAGCGGCCCGGTTCTGTGCCGCTGCTCAGCGGGGAGGAAGCAGCAGCATGGGCAATCGCAGGCTGTGCCCAGCGGCAGCGGGTGGTGGGGGTATGCTGCCCCCTCCTCTGCCCCGCCGCAACCCGGGGCAGCCGGGGCATGCCCGAGCCCCGGGCTGGGCAGACCCAGCTGCGCCGCACTGATGCCCTCGGCTTGCTAGAGCCACCCAAGTGGCTTAAAGGCATTTGGCTCGCAAGCAAACTCCTTTCAAAAGCTCTGTAAGGCCATGAGGGAAGCCAATCGCAAAAATAGGTGCCTATATAAAGAAAAGTCATCGAGAAATGAGAACTGATGCTTAAAAGCAGGTACCTCATTGGTACTCCTATTTCAGCAGTTTGTAGCTCGGTAGCAAATGTAAATCTGGGCTGAGCTGTCATTTGCCAAAGGCCAGCAACACGAACAGAAGTTAAAAAAATATCTACCACTCATTTGTTCT